ATATAACAACATAAGCAAACCTGCATAATAAAATGTTCAAAAGGAAAATGTTTAAAATGTTCAAAAGCCCTCTTCTCACTTACATCTGCTTTGCCTTTGTGTATATAAAACATGTGGTGACCAATTTCTCCTTTGTGGGCAATCACTTGGTTTGGCATAAAGAACATGGGTCTGATCACAAGGGATAACATCCGCTTGAAGCCTGAGCTCAAKCCTTTGAAGAGAGGAGCCTAGAAATAGAATTGTAACGTGAGATGTAATAATGTTTATTATAAAATTTTTGATATATAACGCGCGCTCTGCTTGGCTGACGACCGTGTTTATATCAGAGGCACGCGCGCTGTTTTATATTTCTTAAGTAGAATGTGGTGGAATAGTCTAGTGTATTCTTGGTTTACATTCAATAACAAACAGAGAGATGTTTGGTGTACATGAATATGGAGGATGTGACATTAGAAGCATTAGGGTAGAGTACCATAGGGTAGCTTAGGGAACTATAGTGTAGGTAATGTAGGGTAGTGTAGGGTAGCATAGCATAACAAACAGAAAAAAATGTTTTGTTTGGTGTACATGAATATGGAGGATGTGACATTAGAAGCATTAGGGTAGAGTACCATAGGGTAGCTTAGGGTACTATAGTGTAGGTAACATAGAATAGTGTAGGGGAGCATAGCATAACAAACAGAGAGAAATGTTTTGTTTGGTGTACATGAATATGGAGGATGTGACATTACAAGTATTAGGGTAGAGTACCATAGGGTGGCCTAGGGTAGTGTAACAGAGCATAGGATAGCAAAGAGTACCATAGGCTAGCCTAGGGTACTATAGTGTAGGTAACATAGGGTAGTGTAGGGTAGCATAGCATAACAAACAGAGAGAATTGTTTTGTTTGGTGTACATGAATATGGAGGATGTGACATTACAAGTATTAGGGTAGAGTACCATAGGGTAGCCTAGGGTAGTGTAACAGAGCATAGGATAGCAAAGAGTACCATAGGCTAGCATAGGGTACTATAGTGTAGGTAACATAGGGTAGTGTAGGGTAGCATAGCATAGAGTAGCTGAGGATAGCATAGGGTAGTGTAGCATAGGTTAACATAAAGTACTAAAGCATAGCTTAATGTAGGGTATGATAGGGTNAGAGTGAAATACCCATCAACATAGCAACAATGGAAAACCACTTCTCTGTGTTAGTAACGGCATGGACATCACCATAGCTGAAAATATCAATAAACTTTATTTAATGATCAGTGAAACAGCACAACATAYAYCTGTCTTTCAWGAACAGAAAATAAAATTMACASTAATACAGCATTGATCGAAACCTRCTTTTTAARTACAGCAGYTCTATWGTTAGGTTAGGTTTTGTTTTATTGCTKGAAGACYTATCTATTGTTTGWCCATTGTTTTCTAAACCTATCATGACACCTGTTACGACCGGAGCTGAATGGCCCAAAMTTTAGATTGACAAAGAAGAGATGAGCAAGCATTGTGAGAGCTATATAGATAATTTTAAGTTCAACAAGTTCATTTTTTAAGAGATTTCATTCAAATACACATTGTTCCCAAAGGTATCCGGTGATCTCGCCCCMAAGTGATCATGATATAAACATGATATCTAGGGAGTATTTCCATGACTAGTTTACAATCAACAAACATGTACAGAGAAAGAGAGGTGACCAAGAAGGACAACTCACCCAGTTGAGGTAGCTGTAGCTGTTGCCCAGTACAATGTATACACATATTTCTTCCACAATGTTGCCTTGTCAACTCCTATAGGAAACATTCATAGACAACAGTATAGTATAGTATTGTATTGTATTGTATAGTAAATCCTCCATATATAGCTATCAGAAGTAAAATATAGTTAAACCTGTCTCTAGAACCATGGCCCAGCTTGTTGCTTTGCAAGTCGCATCAGGGATCCCAACATTGTCACAAGCAAGAAAGAACCAGACACAGGAAAACAGATGCAACACCGTTGTACCCATTGCCAGGTATTTGACGGCACGCAGGATTGTGGTATTGGTGCCAAGTTCATTTTCACGGCCATCTGTTGATTGTTAAAGAAAATCAGCCACTCATCCCACCCACCCACTAACTAATTATCCACCAACCAACCAATCAACCAACCAGTCAATAAGCCAACCAACCAATCAACCAACCAACCAACCAACCAACCAACCAACCAATCAGCCAACCAACCAATCAACAAACCAACCAACCCATCAATCAACAAACCAACCAACCAACCCACCAATCAACCAACCATACAACCAACCATACAAACAACTAACCAGTCAACCAACCCACCAATCAACCCACCATACAACCAACCAACCAACCCACCAATCAACCAACCATACAACCAACCATACAA